AGTTAAGAATCAGATGAAGTCAAAATCCAATTTTGAAAAATAAATACAGGTTCATTAGCTCTAACACCTGATTGTAGCGTGGTTCATAGCCTGAGCTGCCAAAAAATTATTAGCAATCCTAAGGGCAGGTACATAAATTAATGCTACTTCATTTTCAATAAATGTTTGGTAATTTCTTTGTTTACCAGTAGGTGTCGCTGGAGTCCAGCAGAGAGCTGTTACAGCTTTAAAAGATCTTTTCTGCTTAATTGAACTTTTATTTCATAGAGGAACATTCATATGATGACGTACATACAATAAAAATAAGAACTGTGATCAATGCTCTTTCAACTGTTTTTTCTTGCCTTAGCTACTGATAACTGTTGGTGGATAATTCAATGATTTGAGAAAGATTCTGATGTTTTTTTCCTCTGCAGCATGACTGAATCTGGTCCAAGCTGATAATGGCCAAAGCCTTCTATTTTATACAAAGATGAAACCACTTAGCAATGCCTGTATGATTACTCAGCCCTTGCCCAATCTTGTATTTCGTGGTGGGGAGAAAATGGAAAATAAGCCAAAAGACCTAAAGACTTTTTTTCTCCCTTTTTTTGGGACCTGTGTTGAAAATTAGAGTCTGGAAACTGATTGGGACAGGAAGGACCTGTCAGCCACAAAACAGCTCTCTGCAAGACTGAGAAAGCATTTAAGGAACAACATTTCTTACACTTTATATTAGAAGATGCAGATGTGGATGAAGGCTTAGAATTGAAGTAGAGCATGGAATGATTTTTTCCTTTTGAATGAACTGTAGTTCTTGTCTGCTGTGTGTTTGCTTGACAGCTGATCAGCAAAGGTATTTTGATTGAGATGAATTTCCAAGTATGCTTAAGTATCTACCATCTGAAAGTTACAAAAACCACTAAGTAGACACTGGCATATGCTGTGCAAGCCACTTGGTATCATCACTAAAAGATAAAAGGAATTCTGTTTTGTTTTTCCCAAGCCATGGTATAAGGCTTATTCTTTATAAAAACCACTGGGGAGACATTTTGATTTAGTCAAAGCATCTTAGTTTGAGCCTAAACTCTTGCATCGGTAATTACTCTAATTTCTTTCATATGTTTACTAAAAAATCCCAAAAACCCCTGTGCCACACAATAAACATTTATCTCAGAATTTCAAGGTCACAGATCCAGCAGAGAAGTCTAGCATAAGGAGGCTGCCTGCAGGCCAGTGTATTATTAGAATAATAATGTGGTTTTGGACAGTAAATGCACTGCCTGCTCTGTTGCCCTTACATGTGGCTGATCCAGTAATGAGTCATTTCCGTGACACGTCTAAAGCACCAGGCAATGCACAGATGTTTTCAGCCTTTTGTTATCATCAGCTACTTTTCTGAGTGTACTCTGCCACCACTCATTAACAGGCCTTCTACTCCATGCTGTGGTGTGATCTTTGCTGTGGTGTCATTTCATGGGACATGGCTGCATTGTATGCAGGGAACTTTAAGAGTGAACAGGTTTGCAAAACTGGCACAGTGTAAGGTCCTGGACATACCAGGGTCTTGTGCAACAGACATTGCAGCTTTCTTCATGGTGCTGCATTGTAGTCTGAGTAAAGGTGAAAGTAATTTGTTTGGGGCTCTATTCTGGCAGGAAGCTAATGAAGTCACTAAATGGTATTTTGTTGCCTCCTACATGCCCATGAGGAAATCTTAATTTGATTTTTTTTTCAAGTTTCATTTTATCAGCTTAATTTGCTAGCTAGTACATGAATTCTGTCATGACGTTCAGGGACATGTCCACTCAGATCTCATTAGTTAATCAGTTTTAATTCTCTGTGGATTTTCTTCTCCAGTTGTAGTTGATGTTGCTGTCCTTTGTAGCTTTGCTCACAATCCTCAATGGCCACACATCCTGATTCCAATGCACCAACAAATTTGTTAATCTGGTATTGCTGGGCTTTAATGGTTTGCAACTACTATAGAAGTGCTTAGTTACTGGCCTCTTTCTAAAAAGCAGAAGCAAGTACTTGGGAAATACAAAGGTGAAAACAAAACTCTTGTAAATTAAAACCCAAAAAGTAATGTTACAATCTACAGCATCTGCATGTGACAGCCACATGCAAATCCAATAATCACCTCTAAGAGGACAAAGGAAGATAAAGTGTTGGTCACATACCTGCCCTTTTTAAAAGATGAAGGAAGCAAAACAGCAAAATAAGCAACAGAAATGGCTTCTCCCCTATTGCTGGAAGAGGAATAGGATAGGACAATGACAGTTGCACCAATGAGCTTGTCATAAGAACCAATTTCTTTCCCCAACAAGCACTATGTGCACACAGTTTGGTAGGTTTCCTTAAGGGCTGTTGCTATAAAGACAGACAGAAATTCATTCAATAATAATGTGAAACAGAGAGATCTTAAAAGGAAGCAAAAAAAAAAAAAAAAATTGGCTTCCTTTGGAAGCCAAAAATTGGAAGAAGGAAAGATTGGTATTCAAGCTGGTCATCCTACAGGGCTGTGAGAGATCTCAGGTATTTAAGAGAGACAGCACCCTTTTATTCCTTATACAACAATGGGAACTTGCTTTGTTCAAAGGAAGGAACCTAGACTTCCCTTGTGAATTTTAAAGTGAGGTTGCATCCTTACTGCAAATGCCTTTTGGTTTTTTTCTCCCAAAACATGTTGGCACATTGTAAAATTTTCAGTGGGAAACAGCACAGGTGGTTACTTTCTCAGCAGAGCTTGCTGGGAATATACTGCACACCAGAATAAAGTTCTGACCTTGATGATTATAACAAGGTGAAAGCTACTTTTTGCTTTCCCACTAGAGTTTCACCACAGGTTTTTCCAGTAGACTTACAGGCTGATCACCTAGGGAAAAAAGCTGCACAGAAAACCACTGAGAATTTAGCCGTAGGTGAATGACTACTGTTGGTTCATCGAGTAAAACGAGTCTTTCCAGAGGCTCTGGCATTGCAGGGACGATGCTGCCTCTCACATGATTGCAACAGATGGGTATGCAGGCCAGAGAGAAGGTGGAGTAGCACAACTTTTTGTCAGGGCCTGATCCAATAATGCTATGATCCAGGGAACTTTTTTTTTTTTAAATCATGGAGAATGAGAACTGGCCCTTTGCTGCACTGATATAAGCATTCCTTCGGTCTGTCCAGCAGTGTTTGTTTTAACATTTTGGTTACTAAACTTAATGCCTTGGCATGACCTCCACTATGAGGAGGCAGCTACTGAAAATTATGATCCAAAGCTATATAAAGATCCCCTGTTTGAGTGCCTTTCAGTCCTTCTTCTCAGGGTTCAGTGTCAGAAATTAGCAGTACAATATCCATTGGAAATACCTCACTAAGAAAAGCCATATTCTTGACAGAAATTATACTTCGCTGTACAATGGGTTGCAGATCTCTCCTCTTTCCCTGCCCTGTACTTTCTGCTTTTTGGTTTGCATGGCAAGGTTTTGGTAGCAGGAGTGGCTTCTGTGAGAGGCTGTCAGATGTTTCTCTTGTGTCCAATACAGCCAATGCCTGTTGGCTCCAAGATAGATCCAGCACTGGCCAAGGCCAAGCCCAGCAGTGATGGTGGCAGCACCTTTGGGATAACAGATATAAGAAAGGGAAGAGGAGAACTGCCCTACTGCAGCTGGAGAGAGGGATATGTGAGAGAGAGGAGGAGACAGAGAAAACTGGGAGCAAAGTTAAGCCTGGGAAGAGGGAGGATGTGGGGAAGGTGTTTCAAGATTTTAGTTTTATTTCTCATTATCCTACTCTGACTTGGTTGGTAATAAATTTAACTAATCTTCCCAAGTCAATTCTGTTTTGCCTGTGACAGTAATTGGTGAGTGATCTTTCCCTGCCCTTTTCTTGACTCATGAGCCTTTTGTTGTATTTTCTCTCCCCTGCCTAGCTGAGGAGGGCAGTGACAGAGCAGCTTTGGTGGGCACCTGGCATCCAGCTTGGGTCAACCCACCACGTCTGCCCTGTGCAGCCACTGCAGCTCTCAGTACAACCCTGTCATTCTTGCTGTCCTGTGCTGCTGGGGCTGCTGCTCTTCCTCCTGCATGTTAATGGTGATATTAAAGTCTTAGTCACTATTTTAGGAGAAGGTGACTAAAATATGGTAATTAGTTACTTCATGTGTCTCTTTACCATCCTCTCACCTTTGCTGTGCAAATAGCAAGGGGGAAATTCTTGCCCCAGTGAATCAAAATGGCAAGTGCCCGTGTGCTCTCACCCCTGTGTGCCCGTGACATTTGAAGGACAGCAACAGGAGCACGGTGACTTTTGGCAAAGAAAAAGCTAAAAGCACCAAAATATTTAGCATTGTAAATGGTGCTAACTGGGACATGAAAGCACTGCAGCAGCTGTGAGTGCAGCAGGACATCCTCTTCACCCCCATCCCTTCCCACCTGGACAAGAGGCAAGGAAGGAAGCACTACAGGAAATTGGGGACTTGAAAGGCAAATGGTGACTAGGCTGAGAGGCAGAGGAGAAGGAGTGGACTGAGAGGCTTTCAGTTGTGAGGAGAGCATTTTAGGCATGAGGAGCAATGGGGAGAGATTTCCTATGAGCTACTGTTTGCTTCTTGGGTAGTGCTTCACAGGGAAACAGGGTAATGGATTATGAGCTTATTCCCTTTTTGTGGGAAAAGGACTGGAGCAAGGGTGTATTACGGTGCTAATTCATGTACTTGATACAAAGGATACCTACTGCTATGGGCCCTTTAAAACCTGTAGCCTCAGTTATGCTGCTGTTACTCTCAAATGCTGTGTTATGTCCATGAGGCAGCACTAAGCAACCTTCCTGACAGCTTTCTGGAAGGATGTGACTGTCTTCATCTGCCCCAAGAGTATCTGCTGCATGGGAAAGCTTCTGTTTTCCTACTGCATTGCCTCCCTTTTCTTTTGGAAGAAACTGAAACAGTTTTAAATGTTTTAATGTTTTTGAAAGGCTCTGTACTAGGTTGCAGCTCATTTGGAAAATTCTGTGTTGTTCATCCCGCACAGGTCCTGGCGCAGAACCTCAAGAAGAGAACTGAGAGGAGTCCAGAATGTATTAAGATGCAATGTATCCAAATAACTGTTCTGTCCCTTTTATGTGTTCCTTCCTGCTATGTTTTTATCTCTTTTATGTCCACTTTTGATGCATTTGAGCTGTGTTTTTCAGGGCTGTCTGACTTTATTATAAGCAGCAAAGGTGATGGTTTCTTTAGGGGGGTTTGGGGGACAGGCAGTAATGGGAAGCTGTAGGATTCACTTTGGCTTTCCCAGAAAACTTTTAAGGTGGAAAAACTACAGTTTGAAAATGGCTGCATTATCTCCCACTGCTGTTCTCATGAAGACAAATGCCAAATGTTTCATGGACTGCTTTTCTTTGTGAAAGGATTTGTGTGGTTGGTTTTGGGGATTTTTTTGTGTGAATGGAGATGGCAACCATCAGTAATATAATTTCACAAAAAGCATAAAATACCTGTTAAATTCCAAGCTCCGAAAATGAAACATACCTACTGCCAAACACAGATGGCATTTGGCTTTTATTTGCTCTGCCATGCTACTTGCATATTTGAGGTAAGCCAGATGCAAATGGAAATAGCAAAGCTCAATGTGTTAACTGCCAAGCTTATTAAGATACAGGGTGTCAAATTTTTGAAGTACCTCAAGTATGTAGAGGCAGTAAAACTGGCACATCTCTGCTGTTCTTGAACACAACGAGGTTTGTTTTGCCATCATCATCCTAGTAAAAGGCTTCACTTACAGGCTTCTGCTGGTAGCCAGGATAGGATAGGCAGCACATAAATGAGTTTAATTTATCCTCTGTTAGTCATGGGAAATTCCCTCATGACCATGAATCTGCAGTGGTTTGAATTACTCTGTGTGGGGTTTCTACAAAGACTGGAAATACAGCTAGAACTATGAAGCTAGCCCAGAGGTATAAGGTGTGTAAGAACTTTCAAATACATCCAATTACTATCATTAGACTGCAAAATTCTCTACATTACTGTACAAGTGACTTAGGTAGCCCAGGCTTTACACTGGTAACAGAGCTAATTTAATTTCAACTCTTCCAGCTTCATATCAAAATTTCTTGGTGTTACTTCCTTACTCTGGCCATATTCTTCACTTTTTTTGGTTCTTGGGACAAACTTTTATATTGTAAAGGACTTCTCAGAGCCTCAGTGGTTCGAGCTCTCACAGTTGTGTTTTCCTCTTTGTCTAATGGATCAGTCACCAAATAAGACTATGCAAACTCAAACAGGTTTAGCTATCCATTTTACTCTTAGAATTTAAATGAGCTGTTTAGTGGCTCTGATCAAGAATACTCTCAGGAGAACAATCTTCTCAGTTTTTGTAGTCAAATTACGGATTTTCAAGTCTGTAGCCAGTTTTTCAGTAGCCCTTCAGTAACTGAGTCAGGTGGTGAGATACAGATGAGCTTGTAAGCCTTATCTGAAACACAACACAAACCTCAACCACATTCCAAATGGAATTTGTACTTCTCATTGCAAGGCCCTGTTGGTTTTATCTCTACTTTCTCCAGCAGTGTCAGCTGTATACTGGATTTAGAGAGCACATTCACAGCATGTTTGTGCTTCAGAAGTAAGACCTGAAAGCTCCAACACATCAGTAGAGATGAGGCAAAGACCAGATTTACTCAGAGGATCACTAAACAAAACCATAGTCTTGCACCTTCTTATTGTGAGGTAGTGATTTTGCCTTTGGGTAAATAGTAAATTAAGAAAAAACCTAGATGTATTGAGACAACTCTGACCTCTTCTACGCAGTGAAATCAGCCTCTTAATTAGTTTTGCATTGGGGACTTGTCATGTAAAGCCTTATAAAGCCTCAAACGATGGTTTGAGTATGAGCATGTGATGTGAAACCATTTTAGACTCCAAAGTTGTAGAATTTTACTTTTCTGAGTTCCTCACTCCTCTGAAAAATGACCAAACTACATCTGCGTGATGTTGTTTAATGTTTTTCTTGTCATGCATCCTTAGTTTTGTATCCCACAAGGATTTTATGAAATACAACCTACAGAATATAAAATGTTGGATTTGGTGACTGTCTGATGTCCATATGTATTTGCTGCATGACACAATCCTCGTGGAGCGTTTTTGCTCTCTGCACAGTGTGTATCATTAATTAAAGCCTCAAAGGTGTGCATAAATCTAACGCGTGTGGGTGGATGTAACAGCTTGTGGAAGTGGGAGCATGCGAAAGCCACAGTTCCACCGGCTGCCCCGTGTTCGTTGTGCGGGCCCTCTGTGCAGAGCATGTTTCCTCCCTGGAGCGGATGTGGAGGCCGGGCACTGTGCGCGCACTGTGAGTACCAGCCCGGGCGGCACCGAGCGCAGGGGGCTGCTGTGCCCTGCACGAGGCACCGCACACTGGAGATGGAGAGCACGCAGGGCCGCTTCAGCGCCCGCTGCCTTCCCGAACTCCCGGGCAGGGTTCTGACCCTCCGCGGCTCCAGCCGGGCTGGGGTGGCCGGGCTGCCCCGACGCTCCTCGACGGGCACCGGGACCCACCTGGGCCTGAGCGCCATCGGGGTGGGGCCGGTCGGGGCTGCCCGCGGCGGGCCCCGCTGGCCCCGCCTTCAGAGCCTCCGCGCGGGCCCGGGCGGAGGCGGCCGCGGAGAGGCGGCGGCTCCCGCCAGGTCGGGCCACCCCGTTCCGTCCCGGCTCGGGCCGTCCCGCCGCGGGGACCCGCCCGCTGGCTCCAGGGACCGGGCCCAGGCCCTGCGGGGCCCGCGCCGCGCCGCGCCGCAAACTACAACTCCCGCCGGGCACCGCGCGACAGGGCGCAGGCGCGGAGGCGGCGCGGGCGGCCGAGCGAAGCGCGCGGCGATTGGCCGCGGCGGCGGGGGGCGGGGCGCGCGCGGTGACGGCAGGAAGGAGCGGGGGCAAATGGCGGAGAGATGGTCCCGGGGCCCGTCCCGAGCGCGGCGATAATCCCGGCGCGGAGGAAGCGGCGCCGGAGGAGGCGGCGCCGGGGGCCCTGACGCCCGCGACACCCCGAGAGAGTCCCGCTGCCGGAGGGGCGGAGGCGTCCCGCAGGTTGAGCGCCTTTCGCAGGCGGCGCTTCGGCGGCCCGAACCCGCGGCCGGAGCCACATCGGCCGGGCCCGCGCCCGGCACCCGCCGCC